CCATGATATCACATCGGGTCAGGATCTGCAGGGAATGAGGGATACCAGCTCAATTCAGAGCTGTCACTATGGAGGGGCTGACATATGTAAAGACTGGCATCAGAGTGGCTACTGATAGCAGTGGGACTAGGTGGCACCCAGGAAAATTAAAAGCATCATTCCATTATACCTTGCCCATTTTTTTAGAGGAAGAGGTTGGTAATTAAATGATAGTTAAAAGACACTTTTCACATCTGTGCACTCACATTTCCGGATGCCCCCCCCTCACTTTTTAGTGCATGTCCCTGGTCAGACAAAGCTGAGGGCTTTTGGTCAAGGTCCTTAAGGGCACAGATAATTTGCAACAATGAGCTTAACCTACCTGAACTAAGGTATCCATCACTGGCTCCTTCGCCACCTTGGCCAGTGTCAGTCTTTGGGTATTGAAGGCACAGATACGAAAGGCTTCAGCCCCACCAGCCAAGAGGATGAGCAGGAGAGCCACAACAAGACCTTGCATGGCCATATGTGGTGGCATCAGGAGCCCTCCAAAGGAATCCAGGTTGTCCAGAGTGTACTGTCACTGCAGCTGATCTCAGCTAATTGGTGTGCTCCCTGCTGCTGGCCCTGAATGTTTCTTGCATCTCTTCCTGGGAAATGTTTCAACTTCTGTACATTAGGCTTGGCCACCTGATAAGATACATGTGGTATGGCATAAAACTTTCTAGGCACGGTAGAGAAGCACCCTGGCATTGAGCAATTCCCCAGTCCTGAGACCCTGTCTTTCAAAAAAACAAAAACAAGGCTAGGTGTGGTGGCATACTCCTATAATAATAATCTACAATGCTAGAAAGATAAAGACTGTGAGTTCAAGCCTCAGTACTGAAAAGAAGGAGGGAGGAGAGGGGAGGAGGGGAGGAGAGGGAGAGGGAGACAGAGAGAGAGAGAGAGAGAGAGAGAGAGAGAGAGAGAGAGAGAGAGGACTTTCCAGGTTTGGTGGCATATACCTACACTCCCAGTACTTGGATACTGCAGGGCTTTGATCCCCTTATGAATCTTGAGACTGATGAGTGTGTGGAAATGACTACTAGTGAGCAGCAGAACAACACTGGAATAGTGGTCATATGAGGAAACAGTATCATCTTGTTAGAAAACTTGGAAAGCATCTAAACAATGGCTTTTCAGTAGAGAAGTCCACAACCCTCCCCAAAGGGTCTCTTTTGACTGTGATGTAGAATTGGGTCATGTACATTTTTATATGAAAATTTTTGCTAAATAAACTTCTGTGATACTCAAGAAAAACACACAATCACAATGATTAAAAAAGATAGTGCAGGGAGGTGTTGGCGCACGCCTTTAATCCCAGCACTTGGGTGACAGAAGAAGGTGAATCTCTGAGTTTGAGGCCAGCCTGGTCTACAGAGCAAGTTCCAGGACAGCCAGGGCTGTTACACAGAGAAACTCTGTCTCAAGAAATAACAAAATATTATTTTTAATTATGTATATGTTTATGGGGTAAGTGTACATGCAGATGCCTAAGGAGGCCACAGAGAGAGTTGAATCTCCTGGAGCTGAAGTTAGAGGCAGTTATGAGCTATTTTTGTTCTCTGCAAGAGCAGTATACACTATTAATTATTGAGCATCTCTCCTGCCTTGGTTTTATATTTATTTGTTGTTTGTTTGTTTGTTTGAGATATGGTTTCTTTGTGTAGCTCTGGCTGTCCTGGAACTCACTAAATAGACCAGGTTGGCCTCAGACTCATAGAGATCTGCCTGCCTCTGCCTCCTGAGTGCTGGGATTAAAGGCATGTACCACCACCGTCTAGTTTATTTTTATATTATTATTATTATTATTAGTATTTAGCTATTTTGTTTTTTTTTTAATTTTATTTTATTGTTACAATATAATTTAGTTCTACATATTATTTTGGGTTTTTTGAGACAAGTTTTCACTATGTAGCCTTGAACCCCATTCTGTAGACCAGGCTGTCCTCCAACTCAAAGAGATTCCACTGCCTCTGCTTCCTGAGTGCTGGGATTAAAGATATGTACTACCACACCTGGCTCTAGACCTGGCTTTAATTTTTTAAAATTATTGTTGTTATTGTGTGTGTTGGTTGGTGGGCAAGTGCCATGGCTCATATGTGGTGGTCAGGGGACAACTTTGTGGAGTCATCTCCTTTCTGCTACCTTTACGTAGGTTCTGGTGATCAAACTCAGGGTACTAGGCTTTCACAGCAGGTGCCTTTACCCACTGACACATCTTGTCAGTCTAGAAATTCTCTTCCATTTTAAAAAAAGGTATATTTCACTTTCAATTATGTGTATGTGTCTGCATGTGGATATGTTCATGTAAGGGCAGGTAACTTCAAAGTCCAGACACATCAGATCCCTCTTAAGCTGGAGCTACAGGAGATTGTGAGCAACCTATAGGCACTTGAAACCAAACTCAGGTCCTCTGCAAGAATAGTAAACACTCTTTTTTTTCCCCTGAGATAGGGTTTCTCTGTGTAACAGTCCTGGCTGTCCTGGAACTCACTTTGTAGACCAGGCTGGCCTCGAACTCGCAGAGATCTGCCTGCCTCTGCCTCCTGAGTGCTGGGATTAAAGGCATGCACTACCACTGCCTGGTCTCATCTTCCTTATTAAGAATGATTAATATTCCAGTCTATGTTCAGACACACTTTGTCCATCAGCATTGGGGTACATCCACTACTTGGATTCATTTATTTATTTATTTATTTATTTATTTATTTATTTATTTATTTATTTATTTATTTGTTTATTTATTTGTTTGCTTGTTTGTTTTTTGAGACAGGGTCTCTCTGTATAGTCTTGGCTATCCTGAAACTTGCTCTGTAGACCAGGCTGGCCTCAAATTCACATAGCTCAACCTGCCTCTGCTTCTTGAGTGTTAGGATTAAAGGCGTGTGCCACCATTGCCTGGCTCTTATTTAATTTTTTATGTGGGTTATTGAGGATTGAAGATGGGGCCTTACACATGCTGAGGAACTGCTCTACCACTGAGCTATATCCTTAACCCCGGAGTGTTTTGTTTGTTTGCTTGTTTTTTGGGGGTAAACTGAACTTGAACTTCTGATTTTCCTGCCTTTACTTCACCCACACTGGAATTACAGGTGTATACTACCAAGTGCTGGGGCTAGAACCCAGGGCCTCATATGTTGGCTATGTTGGGAAGGCTATACTATGTAAGCTATATTAGGTAAGCCTCATAACTACGAAAGCATTGTATCATCTGAACCTCCAGCTCAGCCATTTTGAGTAAAGTAATTTCCTAAAGCAGAACTGCTGATTCATATGATAGTTTTATTTTTAATTTTTAAGGAACACCAAACTGCTTTTCACAGCTGTTGTTCCATTTTACATTTCTACTAACTGTGCATAAGGGTTTGACCTCATTCTTTTTTTTTTGGTTTTTCGAGATAGGGTTTCTCTGTGTAGCTTTGTGCCTTTCCTGGGACTCACTTGGTAGCCCAGACTGGCCTCGAACTCACAGAGATCCGCCTGGCTCTGCCTCCCGAGTGCTAGGATTAAAGGCGTGTGCCACCACTGCCCGGCTTTGACCTCATTCTTTTAACCTATTTTCTCGAAATGTCGAGAAGTAGCTGGGTGGTGGTGGCATATGCCTTTAATCTCAACACTCAGGAGGTAGAGGCAGGCAAATCTCAGAGTTCTAGGCCGGCCTCGTCTACAGAATGAGTTCTAGGCAGCCAGGGATACACAGAGAAACCCTGTCTTGAAATAAAAATAAATAAATAAATAAACTGCTGTGTACCATTTTCCACATAGGCCCACTTCCTAGCTAGGACAGAGATAGTCCCAGATTCAGGAAGGTTCAGTTTGTCCTATCCATATTAGAAAATAAAACATGAACCTCTTCAGGCATTTCTTTCTTCTTCTTAAACCTTTTTTCTTTTTTTAAACATGTATTTGTGTGTGTTGGTGTATGTATGCACGTGTGCATGCTTCTATGTGGAGTCTGTTTTTTCTTCTACCATGTGGGTTCCAGGGATCAAACTCAGGCCATCAAATTTGACAGCAATTGTCCTTATCTGCTGAGTCATTATACCATACCATCTCTCTTTCTATTTGTGACATGTTATGTGCTTTCCTTTTCCCCTTTTCTTTCTTTTTTCATTTTTGCTTGTTTAATATACAGGCCTCAATTTATAACCAAGGCTGGTCTGTAATTCACTATGTAGTCCCAGGCTAGCCTCAACTTTACTGGGTGCTCCTGGAGCCCCTCTTTGAGCATCTGTCTCAGGTTTATCTTTGTCTCAGAGTCAGCTCTGCCTTACCATATCTTTTGGGCTCACCCTTTACTGTACTCCCTGTCCATGTCATTCTGAAGCATGAGGCCCTCTGTTTCTGTCTGCTTGCTTTCTCAGTCACCCTGTCACTTTCTCTTCTCTGTTAGTTTCTTCCTGTGTGTCTTGTTCTATCATCCCGGTTCTGCCCATCTCAGTGTTTCTGTGTCTTCCTGGCTGGCCTTGATATTTGTTTCTTTCTGGACATCTGCTCTGTCACTCATGCTTATTTTCGTCTCTTTGCACTGGTTTCTATTCTGGGATACATGTGAGCATTGGTGCAGCTCTACACTGGCCAAACTACATTTAGAGACTGAGACCACTAGAACTCTGGGAAAGAACCACAAAGAATTATGGTTCCTGGCCTCAGCTCAATGCCCATCCTAATCTTCCAAAGCCAGCCTTAGTTTTGGATCAAAGTTCCCTTCCCCTCTTAAGCCCCTCCCAGGTAGAGAGCAACCTCCTCCCTTTCCCTAGCCCTCAGGATTCTCATACCTCGGCAGACCTACTTGGCCGCACGCCTGCCTCAGCCTTGAACCGATTGAAACACTCCACAGAATCGCAGCGCCAGCCAGGGTAAGGACTTGGAGTGGGGAAAAGAGGAAGCCCGCTTCCAGACCCACCCAAAGAGCCAGCCCCACAGCCAGCTCGCTTGTCCCAACAAGAGGGCTGGGCTCCGCCCCTCTGCCCAGGAGGCGGCGCCTGGGAATTGGCCACCTGCCCGCCCTCCCCGCCCAAGATGGGTGGTGTCTCTTCAGAGCAGACAGTACTTTGGGGACCTGAGTATGGTTGGTGCTACCCGCGCCAAGGAGCAGTGGCCCATCATTGAGCAGTTATCTGGACCCAGGGACCAAGGTGAGTAGGTTTGCTCACTCATTCTCTGACACCTTCTTCGCAGCAGGAAGCGAAACAAAGACAGTCTTTTCTCCAGGTTCTCACGCCCTCCTAATTTATGTTTGCCAATGTGACTGCTCACAAAACCCAAAGCAATGGACCTTCTGCACAGGATAGGCAGCGCGACTGGCCACTGAATCCTTTCAAGTCCCCACTGGATGACTATGGAGTGGCAGCTTAGAAAAACGTCTCATGGGCACAAATTTGTTACTTTTGCTACCACAGGAATGCTAGGCAAGGACTTTATTGTGGAGATAACCCCCCTTACCCTCCACCCGCCAGCTTACTGGGGGAAATACTACAGTACAATCAATAAAACTGAGTTTTAAAACAATACCAGGATGTGGTGGTGGCATATGCCTTTAATCTCAGCATTTGGAAGGCAGGTATCGCTGTGAGTTTGGGTCTAGCCTGGTCTATATATTAAGTTCCAGACTAGTCAGGGATCACAGTAAATCCGCCCCCCTCTCAAAAAAAAAGCCTCTTGTGATGCCCACATAATACCATCACTTGAGAGACGGAGGCAGGAGATTGTTGTGACTTCAAGGCCAGCCTAGGTTACATAGTGAGTTTGAGGTTAGTGTGGGCTGCACGAGACTATATTGTTTTAAATGGAGGGGGCCGATAAAAGATAATCTCTGAGGCTTCCTGGACGCTAACCTAGGCGAAAAATGTGACCCCAGGTTCAATAATAGACCTTGCTTCTAAATGATGGCACAGAATGATGGACGCGGACACTCAATGCCCTTTTCTTGCCTCTGCGTGTGCCTTCAGAAGCGTGTATAACCGGATTCACACTGGGTGGGGGAGGGAGAGGGAGAGATAATAAGTAAAAGGGTTCCGCCAGCCTAGGCCTTGAGTGGCTTCAGGTAATGGTGCTGCGCAGCTCATGTCACCTATAGACACTAGAATTAGGGAACCAAAGAGACTCGTAGCTTCCGGCGGTCTCCAGCCAAGACCCTGACGGGAAGGAGGCGGGGCGAGACTGGCGTAGACCTGCCCCCAGCAGCCGTCAAGCGACCTAGGCGTGTTTTGCGACAACAGGCGGGGAGCCTTTTCCGGCGGGTATGCGGACCCTGAGGCCCCCCCAAGGCAAGTTCTCTTAGTACGTATGGCTCCCCACAGCAACCCTGGCTCCTGGCCATAGCGGCGGCGCTTCTCTGTTTAGAGAGCGGTGCTAAGGAGGCCCTGAGCTGCCCCATTAGGTGACCTTAGTCTAGCCCCCTGCTAGCCTGACCTTAGTCTAGTCCCCTGCTAGTGTGTCTGAGATCTCTCTCCTGAGCGGTGGAGGACACGGGCTGGCCCGGGGCAGGAGAAGCTCCGGGCAGCAGGGTCGGGACCGGAGGAGATGCCCCTCCACGTGAAGTGGCCGTTCCCCGCGGTGCCCCGGCTCACCTGGACCATAGCCAGCAGTGTCGTCATGGGCCTGGTGGGCACCTACAGCTGCTTCTGGACCAGTGAGTGGCCAAAGGCCAAGGCAGAGTCTGTCACAGGCTCCCAGCCTGGCCAGAGTTTGATTTTGGTTTGGGTACTGGGGGTGTGACAGGGTCTCTTTGGCGGCAGGTGGAGATGAGCAAGAGCTTGAGCCTGACTTCTCTTCCCAGAGTACATGAACCAACTCACCGTGCACAACAAAGAAGTGTTGTATGAGCTCATTGAGAACCGAGGCCCTGCCACACCCCTTATCACCGTCTCCAACCACCAATCCTGCATGGATGACCCTCATCTATGGGGTACTGTGTCAGTGTACTTGGGTTCAGGGAGGAAAAACAGGAACAGGCCCCAGCCAAAGACAGAGTGGATTCACTTCTTACCAGGTTCTTAGGAAAACCATGGCATTATTTGTGGGATATACTGTCTAGCTGTTGGAAGTTTTGTGTTCCTCTTAGGATTCCTCCAGGGAATGTTATTTGAACAGGATATCAGAAATTTAGAAGGAATGTAGAAGTGGCCATGTCAAATCAAGGGCTTTCCTTTTTCCTAGGAATCCTGAAACTCCGCCACATCTGGAACCTGAAGTTGATGCGTTGGTGAGGAGCAATAGGCCCCTTAAAGTGGTCCACCCATTTCTGCCCAGATTTGCCTTCCTCCTCTCTTCAGGAGGTGGCATCCATCAGTCAAGGAAGGGCATGGGTGGGGCCCCATAGACCCTTCTCTTGAGCTTCATTCTGCATGACAATGATGGCAGATGTTGTACTGGGTGGGGGAGTTAGGAACAAGGACTAGGAAGTCTTGAAGGCAGGGATGACTGGGTCTGTTGCTGCTCTAGGACCCCTGCAGCTGCAGACATCTGCTTCACCAAGGAGCTACACTCTCATTTCTTCAGCTTGGGCAAATGTGTGCCTGTGTGTCGAGGTGAGCTGCTCCTCTTGAGAGGCATGTGCAGGCCTCCCTTGGGGGTAAGGAAGCTGGTGGTCAGTGTCTCTGTCTTAGAAGGATTCAGGAGAGCCATAACATAACAGTATAGGTGGCAGAGGGTAAGAAGAAGGATGGCCTCTTAGATCCTCTGCAGAAGCCTGAGAATTGTCCAGAACTCACATGAGAATTCAAGGAAGCTTTATTTGCCATCCCTTCTGTATCTACTATTCCTCTCAGGGAGAGGAGTGCAGTACCATCACTTTATGGTGTCAGTGGGGTACATGTATAGAAGGCTAGAGGATTTGCTTCTGTGAGAACAAACAGACTGGAGGGGGGAGGAGCCTGGGATTGAATGATCACTCAGTACTTTTCACAAACCCCTAGATGTAGGGGCCATCTTGATCCCCATTCTCTAGATAGGGCTCAGATTCTCAAGACAGAGTTCAGAAGTCCAAGGTCATAGACTGACCTTGGATAAATTTAGGATTCAGATCCACATTTCCCTTTCCTCTGGGGAAGCAGATTTCTTTTTAAGCAAAGAATGAAAGAAAAAAGTCTAAAAATGGGCAAATAAGCCGGGCGTTGGTGGCGCACGCCTTTAAGCCCAGCACTCGGGAGGCAGAGCCAGGCGGATCTCTGTGAGTTCGAGGCCAGCCTGGGCTACCAAGTGAGCTCCAGGAAAGGCGCAAAGCTACACAGAGAAACCCTGTCTCGAAAAACCAAAAAAAAAAAAAAAAAAAAATGGGCAAATAAGCTGAGGGGTAGAGGCACATGCCTTTAATCCAAGCACTTAGGAGGCAGAGGCAATTGCATCACTGAGTTTGAGGACAGCCTGGTCTACAGAGCAAGTTCCAGAACAGCCAGGGCTACAGAAAAAGTTTATCTCGAAAAACAAAAACAAAACAAAAAACAAAAAACATTCCAAAAGGGAGGGGAGAGCATGTGCTAGGTGCTAGAGAAGAGAAGAGAAAGGTAGAAAATGTCTGAAGGAGGGAAAGATCTATTTCCATCTTTCTAAGCATTCCAGTGAGACTACATCATCTTGCTGAATGACAGTGGCATTTTCTCTTAGGTCCTGCTCTGATATGTCAGCATTTTAATAATTTACACCTGTCTCTGACTCTAAGTGCCTCTCCTCAACAAGCTCAAAAGTCTTGTGTGTGTGTGTGTGTGTCTGTTTTTATTCTTTTTCTTTTGTTTTCAGTTTGGGGGACAGAACATAGAGACTTGTGCATTCTAGGCATATACTATACCTCTGAGTTATATTCCCAGTTCTGTTCATTCTTTTTTTATCTATACCTAGATTTATTTATTTATTTATTTATTTATTTATTTTTATTTATTGGTTTTTCCAGACAGGGTTTCTCTGTGTAGCTTTGAGCCTTTTCTGGCTCTTGCTCTGTAGACCAGGCTGGCCTCGAACTCACAGATCCACCTGCCTCTGCCTCCTGAGTGCTGGGACTAAAGGCGTGCGCCACCACTGCCGGCCTGTACCTAGATTTTATTTCAGTTAAAAACAGGATCTGAGATGGGCATGATGTCTCTGAGTTTGAGGCTATCCTGGTCTATAGCGCTAGTTCCAAGATAGCCAGGGCTACGAAGAGAAACTCTGTCTCAAAACAAACAAAAAAAGCTAGGTATGGTGGCCTGTGCCTGTAGTCCTGTATTTGTGAGGTGAAAAATAGGTGATTTACCATGAGTTTGAGGCTAGCTTGGGCTGGAGACTGAGACCTGTCTCAAAAAAAAGCCCGTGTGTGTACACAAGTGTGTGCCCACATACACACATACAAAGAAATTGAGGGCTGGAGGTGTGGCTCAATGGTACAGTTTGTGCGTAGCTGGCACAGAGCCCTGAGTTCTATCCCCAGCATTGTAAAAATTATAAAACAAAAACTAGAAAATGAAACATTAATTTCAAGGACAGCAAAGATTTAGTTACATGCAACTGAAACAGAGCTTGCGATACTCTTTCTGTGTTAAAACAAACAAACCATTTTTCTCTAAGCCTAAGACTTTGTAGGTTGACCTTTAAGCACTGAAGTGATTTTACACAAGTAGAAATAGCATTTGCAAAAGCTAAAAAGTGTGAGCTGCTGTTATCCTTTTTACTTCCCATTTTTAAGCTCAGAGGGTATATACCAGTGGGTTTTGCTAGAGAAGCAAACACCTTTAGTGACCACCCTTGCTATGTACTGCCATCCCAAGCAAGGAACTTGTGTCTCATTCTGTTCCCTGAAATCATTCCCACTTGTGACCCCTGAGTGAGCTGCCAGATCAGGTACCTGTTGAAGTTGAGCTGAGACTCCTGAGCCCCTAACCATATCTTCCAAATAGCAGGCTTACAGAGAACTGTGGAAAGGCAATCTCCCCCCACCCCCCAGACAGGGTTTTTCTGTGTAGCTTTGCACCTTCTTAGACCTCACTCTGTAGACCAGGTTAGCCTCAAATTCACAGAGATCTGCCTGCCTCTGCCTCCCAAGTGCTGGGATTAAAGACGTGTGCCACCACCTCCCAGCAGAAAGGCAATTCTTTTTTTTTTTTTT